ATATATTTTTCTTTTATATTTTAGATTTTTTTTTTTGACTAAAAAGAAAAAAGTCGGGCGCGTGTATCTTACGCGCGTGACGATTTCTCTCTCAAGACCTCGCTGAACTTTTTCTCTCCCGTCGATTTGCTCGCCTCTCCGGTATCCGGTTGCGACCGGTGCTGTGAGAGGGCCTCGGGGTTCCCTCCGTCCGGTTCCATCTGTGCTTTTGAAGAAATCATGGGCTTTGATTTGGCCCTGCTTCTCGTGGCGAGTGTTGAAGGTCCGCCGTGCTTGTTGGCCGTTTTCGGTGGTCAGAATCTCGTTCTCTCTGATTCTATTGCTTGTAGACAGTGATAGAACACGGCGAAGACTTGCTTTCCTTCCCTAGCGACTCGCATCTCAAACGGCGGAGCACGTTTCCATTTGTAGATCTACTTACAGATCGCCTTCTTCCTGGTATTCTCCGATGGCAGTACAGGCCACTCTAGGTGGTCCTGGGGTGTGGCTTCTTCACCTTGCTCGGATTCGCATTTTTCAAGACTTCTCTTGGACTAATCGCCGCGCTTTGACTCGCGTCTACCGGGGTATTGGGCTTCTCTCTGATGGATATTCGCTTTTAGGAATGCCTATTCCCAGATGGAAGTTGCTTCTGTCCATCCCGTGCGTGTCGATTTCAAGTGTTTGGATTTCTGTTAAAGTGGTTTTCCTCAGCCTCTCTTTTGTCTCTCCTTCACTTAGGTTGCAGGACATGGCTTATGATTGGATTCGTTTTGAGTTTTTCAGTGTGACGAGAAGACCTGACGTTTGAGGGAAGCACTTCTCTGTTGGCACCTTCTGCTCGTGGACAGCTGCAAGACTATTAGGAGAGTGTTTTCTTGTGGCTGGTCGAGTTTCTTTCATCGTATCGGGTACTCATTTGTCCATTCGTGTAGCTGCCGTAGTGTTATCTTTGTTGATGATTTAGTTATCGGTGGTAACTAGCTTCGTCGCATTTCTGAGAACGTTACTGGTATATCAAGACTTTTGTTTTGGTTCAAGGCCTGATGTTGCTTGTGTCTTCTATTACGCTGCTGTGTAGAGGTTTGTGTGTCGCTTAGTACGCGGGTTTGATTGTTTTGAGTCTGTGCAACAGAGGAGCTAGTAAAGCCAATGAGTGTTTTTCGTTGTTTTAAACATTTGATTTAGCTCTGTACTGCCTCGGAGCTGGGTAGGGTGAGCTTGCGTCTTTCGCTGATATTGGTTAGGGAGGTTTCTACATGGTGTTAGCTCATGGTGTTTTGGCGATAATCGGCTCTCACATGACGCTAGGAGTATGTGATCGAGCGATTGGAGAACATTCCCGTTGACAACGCTTTCTTGGGCCTCCACGGAAAGGCTTCTATTGCTGTGAGTTATGGCATTTCAGGTTCGTGTGGTTTGCTTTCCCATCTACTTCTCGAGTTTTAGATTAGTTTTGAACAAGCGCATCGTCATCACTTCGTCTGAATCCATTAATATTCGTGTTAGTGTCGAGTCGATGGATTGAAAACCATGTATGCATATGTTTCCATGTTTTAAACTTTTTTGCCATGGATTACATTGTATAGAGCTACAATCTTGATTGTAATCCTGAACCGATTCATTTTCTAATGAAATATTTACTATTTAGGAAAAAAAAAAAAAGAGTATAATATAGCTTTGTCTTTACATTTTGTCATGTTCCCCAATTTTATAGCTACGAATATTCACAATACCTTACGCTAAGAATAACTAAATTAATTATAGAACAATGGTTGGTCAATGGTGATTCGTCGGTATGAAATTTGTGTTTGTCTTCTCTACATGCTCTACTAAATTCTAATTATCATTTTGCGAAATATCTAAAGAAGATAATATTTTCTATGTTTTTCACATTCAAAAGTGTTGTATTGACTAATATTGAATTGGAATGTATAAAAAAACTTATCCAATAATTTGTTTTTTTTTTAAACGGTAGCTTCTACGTTATAGTTTCAATTTTGGCTACCAAGCGATCCTTGTAAAATTTCAAGTTCGACAAATGATTTCATCAAGACTCGAATAATTCTTAATCAACAAAAAAAGCTAGGTGTGATAAAGATAGTTTTAATTTTCAAAAAGAAACAAAATAAATAGATTAACAGAAATTAGATGAAAGAAAGTCATGGAGAAGTGTGAAGTTGTGACTTTAGGAAGACAGTGAAGGATATCGTAGGATCCAGGGACCAAGATGAACGTTCCTCCTAATCCATAGGTACTATTATCACACAAGCTCTTATTAATACATATTTTACCTATATCTATTTTATTGAATAATAGTACTATATAACCATAATTTTTTTTTTATTATTTACAAATTCAACGTAAATATGGCGATAAGAAACTATTTCATTTAATGCCATATTATTTTTTTAAATAAGTGATAAAATTCACCATTATTTACGACTACATTTTATTTTAGGGGTAATTTTGGCTCTGCATATTAGTTAGCTACCAAATAAGCCATTTAGGTGCGATCATACCAGCACTAATGCACCATATCTCATAAAAACTCTGCAGTTAAGCATGCTTAGGCGATAGTAGTACTATGGGTAAAAAAAAAAGTTTCAAAAAAAAATAAGCCATTTATTTTTTGTCGTCTAATATTTGATGCTTTACACATTTACATGATGACATACGTATGTATATATAATATACACACATGCAACTATGATAAATATCCCCAACATTTGGTACATAGTATGTTCCATGTTTTCTCTATTCTTTTAGCTCTTCTATTCCACTTTCTTGAAAAGGCCAAACAGAAGAAAAAGAATGATACATAGTGACTATGTCTAATCTTTGATTATCTCATTTATGTTTCAACCTTTATCTCTGTTTCTGCATATCCTTACATAAGAGCAAACGAAGAGAGTTGGAGATGAACGGGTCAAGGTCTGAAAGATCGATCATAACAACATGGAACATAAACACAACTAATTAAGGAAGGTTCAGGATCATCGATGAATGCGATCTCGTTTGGGTTTGTTGCGACTGCGATATTGATATCAATGTTCCTCATAATGGCAATCTTCGAACATCTTTTCAGGCCCGATCATTCCTCTTCTTCCCATGGATCTGCTCAGTTCCAAAAGCTTGCTGAACAAGCTTCTATGGTAAACACTAAACACCATTATTATTTTTTATCTTTTATAACAAAACCACTATTATTCTTCGTGCCTTATTCTTTCCTTTTTCTCATTTTTGTTTTAAAATTAAAAAGTTTTCTTAGCGACAAAAATAATAAAAAAAAGTTTTCAGTCTTTTTATGAAGAGAAACGGACCCATGAAATTCAGGACACCAAAAATCTATAATTTATTGCATGGAGTACAATTTGAAGTACGATATAACTTGAATTTATTTATGTTTTGTTTTAATAACATTTTAATACTTCAGGGGTAGTCTTTGGAAAACCACTACTTATGAAG